TATATATATATATATATATGAATATTTACAGTCAAGGGCGTAACTTTAGGTCTATCACTGGGGGGGGGGTATGTTAATTTCTATTGTGTCTGAACAAATGATGTAATTTAATTGGGGTGGGGGGTATTTTGACTTCATCAAATTATTGTGGGGGTCATAACCCCCCTAACCCACCTGMAAATTATGCCTATGTTTTCATTACATGCAAACACTTTTTAAATGGAATTTTAATACATTTGGGTAGGTGTGCAGTGCTATTTGGCCCTCTGGCAGCGTCAACAACAACAAAAAAAACATCCCCTTCCAGTTGCCCATCCCTGAGGTCAACATCTGTTAAATTAAGTTGGAGCTAGTTTTATGTTGGGTGTTGCTGATTAGCTGTGGTGGTCATCTTGAATCTTGGTTGATTCCAATTTGCTCAGTTGTAGATGGACAGATGACTGCTGAGAGTTTCATTAATATTTCACTAATTGTTCATAGGATTTATTTGTTACATGAAAAAGATACAAACACAGTGCTCAAAAATAGAGTAATCAACTTCATTGTTTTCTGACTTTCACAAGAAAAAGGTCACTAAATCAGTGTGTTGTCGTGACCTGAAGAGTCCCATTCCATTAGTGGCACATACTCTAATGATGAGTGGTGATTTTGGACTGAAATCCTGTGCATTTTCTGATTGCCGCGTTTTGTCGCACATAATAATTTCATCAAATTAATCCAATTGTGCTCAACATGTGACCCCCCCACTGTGTTGTGGCTCCTTTCACTCTCAGACGTTTGCCACTAGAATCTCAGAGGGATTTAATTCATGGCTACAATCAGAGAAATTCTTATTCCGATTCCCACTTGGACTTGAAATTACTTTCCTCCCAGAACTACAATTTATCACCAGACGACAGCGGAGACAATGAGACTTTTAGTGAATGCTGATTTTTAGCTAAAAGGTGTTTATCAGCTCTCTCTTTCTGGCCCTCTCTCTCTGTTGTGTGTGTATGTTTGTATGTGTGTGTATGTTTGTATGTGTGTGTATGTGTGTGTGTGTGTGTGTGTGCTGTTCTACTGATGCCACAGAGGAAATCATGTCTTATCTCCACAAAAAAGCTCAGGTACAAGAAATGACTTAAACACACACTGTCTCTGTGTGAGCATGTGAAATATGCAAGACAAAAACAACAACAAAACACTTCCTGTTTGATCTGCTTAAATAGAATAAACAGAACTTAGATGTTTATGAAACCTTTGTGTAGAAATGATCTGTAAGGAAAGTTTAGGCTTATTATCAGTGATAATCCTGCTGATTATATTTGTGGTTTGTCAGAGTTGTAAAGTAACTAAGTACAAATACTTCTTTACTGTACTTAAGTAGAATTTTTGGGTATCTGTACTTTACTTGAGTAATTATTTTTCAGCCTACTTTTTACTTTTTACTTCTTACATTTTTACACAATTATCTGTACTTTCTACTTATTGCATTTTTATAAAAAGTAAGAAGTAGAAAGTCGTTAGTCCTATTTTATTACAGGTTGTTAAAAATATCCTCCTGGATAAAGTGAATTTAATTGTGGTTGGATGAGAAGTATAAATATATATCATTCTGATCCTGTATTAGTTTGTACACAATCCATCACAGCTGCAAATAATACAAATTACAGTATGTCACACTGTAGCAGAACAAAGCAGATAAGTATACTGTATATGTATCCTGGTGTGAAAGCGTCTGTGACAATAAATACAGTATATATA